GAGAGTATTCGAGCGCTTCGATGGCCCAACTCGGCTCGAAGTCGCGTGAAGTGATCGTCCTGAATCTCCACCATTTCCACAGACTATTCACTCGTTTTCTCGTTCAAGCCCTTCAATACCTTTCTCCCTCCTCTCCCCCTAAATGGGAACACGACTAAGAGTGTACCCAGCGAGCGCGCTACCCACCTGCTTAGCTGAAGCCAGCTCCACACGCAGCTGCTCATTCTCCTCCCGCATGCATCGCAGCGCCTCGCAAGTCTCAACACCCCGACGGGATACCTCACCAACGACAACATCCTCCACAGATCTTCAAGAGTCTCACATGGTTCTCTATCTCCTGCTGCATGTAACCGGCCACATCCCTCAGTTGCTCTACTGCTTGCATGAACGACTGCAACAGACGAGACATAAATTGACCAACACTGCCCTTCCTGTCCACTACGACGTCCCTAGCCTTCCCACTGCGAAGTCGCTCGACATCCATCTTCAACGACGTTCGTTTCCGTTTCGACTCGCGTAATTTTTCCCTAAGTTCGTCTACCTACACGATGACGTGCATCCGAGCATCAACTCCCAAGGCTTTCCCCACCGTTCTATTCGCCCTCCCAAGTTCCGCCCTCAGCTGCTCCACGACAGCATCTCCGCTCTTCACTATGCTCAGACTTCTGACCTGACACCCCCATCGGTCATCAATACGACGCCTCCTGTAGAGCCAGCAGGATACCTCATCCTTCGACACCTCAAGCTCCCGCCGACATGCGTTCAAGTCTCGGGTCATCTCCCCCAAGCGAGATTGTAAGTCAGTGACTTCTCTGGAGGCATCCTAGAACACGCCACGACTGTCAAAACAACAACAAGTCTAGCAATTACCTCAGTCGTTTTACACGCCTCCTTCCTCTTCCCCTCAGCAAGCTGACGTCTGAGCTCTTCCTCTCTTACTATAGCAGCCGCTACAACAACCAAGTCAAATTCCCTTCACAGTCTGCTGCCTCCAGTTTTGGAATATATGATCGCTTTCCTCAGCCGAAACCAGAAGTATTCCTCACTAATTATACAAGTTTATATACGAATTCGAGTAGAAGTGTACAGAAACCAATAAGAAATTCCTCAATTTTCCTCGAAATTTCCACGAATGTAGTTGACCATGTGCATATTTTTCCACACTGACTGCCGCCTGAACTCACCCTTCTCTTGCTCTAGTCGATGGAGATCCTTCTGATGACGACAGATCGATTCGTGCAAGTCTGAGAGGATCCCCCTTGAAGTCCAACAGTGGCTTTCCTTTACCTTCATTTTTCCTCTGCATGAGCCCTAACTCCTTCCCCAGCTGTTCAGCCTGAGGTATGGCGTTTTATCCTCAGCGATTTAGTAGTAATGGAGTTTCACCCGTTTCACGTGGAGTGAAAAACGCGATATTCGCGGTGATATGCAGTAGTCGTGAAATATATTCTTCACTAGTGCTTTTCATATCACGGGTGAAACTCCATTATATCATCATCATCACCAGCAACCTACCTCCTCTGTTTTCTCCCGTTCAAGTCCGATACAGAGATTTTCCAAATATTCGCATCGCCGTTGCCAATCCTGAAAATTTGAGCATTCGACTTCTACGGTAGAATATAGGCATCTTCTAGTGAAATATAAAAAATGTTTCACCCTAGTGATATGAGAAACACTAATGAAAAACATATTTCACGACTACTGCAGAGCGCGAATATCGCGTTATACACCGAGTTTTACGCCACTCCGCGTAAAACGGGTGAAACTCCAATATCTTTTTTTGTAATTTCATATG